CAAATCTTTTCGTCAATATTCATTTTCACACTTTATTTTGGCCCATGCTAGACACACAGAACAGGAAAATCCAAAGAAGTCAATGCTGACATTAAAGGGCACCATCTAAAGCCACTCAGACAGCTAAAGAAACCCTTACATAACACAGCTTTAAACCACCTTGCACAGACTATGCAAAAAAGGTTCAAGCCAAAGGCAGCCTGCAAAGCAGTAATTGTAAAATCCACGGAAGTCAGTCGAAAAACATTAATAAGACTCTGTAAGAACACCAAGGCTTCACATTTACACTATTATCACCATCTTAACGTGGAAATTAGGCTAAGAACAATACAAGTTCTTAGAAATCAGTCTAATGTTAATGTCTTTGCACATCCTTCCAACACAGAGAATTCTTTATTAACACGTACTTGATACTAATCGCTAATAGACTGTGTTCCCTTACTAACAAAGCAATCTTGGAGACAGAACCTGCCTTCTTTCAAAACAAACAAAGAGAGTAAGACTCTTTTATGTTTTCCTTGACTAGATTGCCATGCCATGCCCCTTGCAGCTTGCCTCAATACACGTGGCATGTTCACCTAAAACTTTTTCAAAGTGTTTGAAAACACTTGCACAGTATTTGGATAGCAGCTTCACAGACCCACGTTTGCACTTGTTGCACATGCAGTGCAGAGCACAAATGAATCAAAAATCTGTCACAACTGCTTGCCACAATTTCAGTAATTGAAATCTGACCAGTGACTTTGGATTTACTCCAGAACCTGCCAACTCTGCAGGGCTGAAAAATTCACAATTCGCCCCCAATATGTGGGTATTTTGCCCTCTTTGGGTTGCCCCTATGAATGGACAGAAGTCTATTTTCTCAGTGTAATGATACATTTCTAAAGCACAAAGTGGAACTCCTGAGGCATGTAAAGTGTGATAATTTCAATTAAATTCATGAAGCTATGGGAATTTATGCCAAACGGTTTGCCTATGCTGGCTCAAAATTTGCTGCTGAAGATGATATATATTTGCTAACCTAAGAATGAATTTTCCACTGTCCAGCTGCTAGTTAAGAAGATTAATGACTGCTTTGTAGTTCCAATTAAACTCCTTTATCACCAAGAGGGACCAAAAAAGTTTTGAATTCAAGAGTACTGCTTAAGAAAGAAGACCAGGGCTGCATAACACTGACATTTTATTAGAATTCATTTGTAACAAATGGAACTTGTGTCAGCAAAGAACTGATTTTCATACAGACTTTCTTTCGCCACCAATGTAACGAAGTAAGAAAATAAAAAGCACGCCTTTCATTCTGTAAAACATTTACGCGTACTACTAGAGGTAATTGTATCTTTTTTAACAAGCCATTTTACAAGGTAATTTTTTAAATTTTTCAGTCTATGCATCCAAAACAAGAGCAAAGAACACAATTTTTTATTATCTTTGTAAAGACACTCCAAGCTTGAATGGCAAAGCCACATAACGGATGGTTATGATGAGACCTGCAGCCTTCTGATATCTGTGGAGTATCAGGGCACCGAGGAAAAAAAAAAAAGAAAAAAAGAAAAAAAGGAAAAGAAAATAAGAAAAAAGAAAAATAAAGAAAAATAGGAGAGAACAAAAGGAAAAAAAAAAAGTTGCTTTTTTAGTCATTGCAAACATTTTTTTTTCCTTTTTACATGTTCTGTGTCATTTAAATATACACAAGTGGATTTTATAAGCAGTTTCTTACAGATGGGTTCAAGTTATAACATTATTGGGTGTAGAATCAATAGGGCAGTGCATAGTACAAAGGTATATATAGAAAGTGCAAATCTCCCTAGAGGGCCACTCCTTCCCCCAGCCATCCTGCCCACTATCTAATGACTCAAATAATTTTTTAAAAAAGAGCTAAATTAAACTTCTGTATAAATAATTTTTATATATTTTGTGGTTTTTTTTACCCATTGCAACTAATTACAAAATTAGACATAACTACACATACAAACGTAAATAATAGCACCGTATTGGTTACGCTGATGAAACCAATTTTAAGCTTGGAAATGTATGATGTATGTATACAAAGATGTTCACGATTTAAATTAACGGTAGAATGACTATATATAGGAATACAGAAAGTGGAATGCACATCAATGATGCTAATAGTTATCTTGAGAACCATAAAAACTAAAAGGAATATTTTTTTGTACAACAGCTTTCCTCACAAATTGGCTCTGCTTTTTTTTTTTTTAATTCCCTCATTTTCTTTGGAGCTTGCAAGACAGTCTGCTAGGGAGAATGCGCTGATCCTTTTACAGATCTAGTGTGCAAGAATCTTCCCTAGTCTATGTTTCCAAAATGATGCTTTTCTGATTGTGTTTTTCTGATCCCCTACATTTGAGTTGAAGAACATGACAACACATAACCTGGCACTTCAATAATTATTTTAAAATACAAATCAAGAAAGAAGAAGAAAAAGAAACATAGTGCACATTCTTCTCTGGTTCAGATGCAAGTTATAGAATCTCATTCTGAGGTAGCCTTCTATAATACTTCTATTCCATATATATATATTTATATTTTTGTTTTGATTTTTTTGTGTTTTTTTTTTTCTTTACAAAAGTGCATAAATACAATGCTTGCTAGAGTTTGGTCTTTCATATTTTTCTTTCTGCTAGTAGTGGGAAAAGTGGAAGAAGAAGAAAAAAAGTTGAGGTCACATTGACAAGCCATACCAATGCTCCTATCGGAAACCCCAAAGAAAGAATTCCTTTGATACTCATGTACTGACAATGGCAGAAGGCATGATGGAAACCAGGGTCAATGTAAATGGCATCCTATTAAGAGTCTCAAAAAGTACTTTTTGCTGTTTACAGAATTTTCTTTGTTCCCTGGAAGAAAATCTAGTGTCATTCTCAAATATATCCTGTGGGCTCAGTCTTGCTAGCCTTACATGAACCCTCCCACTGAAAGCAATGGTTTGACTAGCAATCTGTTGACACAAATGAATCAGCAGGACTTGGCCCAAAATAAAAAAAAAAAAAGATGCATGAGCACTGCTACTGTCAAGTACTGCTAGTGTACTGCTACATCTCTGCAATGATAACACTATAACCGGTGACACAGTGCGTTTGAAAAGCCAACGAGAAATAGATTTTTCATTTGTGGGCTGGTCTGTTATTGGAAATACAGAAAGATAAAGGGCCTTGACTACCTACATGTTTTGGGTTATCATTTATTACCATCCATACTTGATTAGAAACTGGAAATGCATATTTTTCAAAATTGTCTGATACATGTATTAAAATGTTTGAAACGAATAACAGAGATATGAACAAACTGAACTAAATACAAATGAAGGCTAAGTTAAAGAAATGCTATTCAAAATAGGCATCAAATATAAGGCACTCTAAATGTAAAATTAAAATAAAACCCAGCATCCCCAAACAATGCTGTAAGCCACAAAACGTTTGATTTCACAGAGCAATGTGTGTTTGGCTTTGCCCTGTTACATACGATAAATGTAAATTATATAGCGCACACTACAGACAGTATACTATTGAATACAATTTTAAAACATCTTAATACCTAGTATATTACAACATTCTCCCCTCCTAAAGGGATATGCACTGACCTTTCCCACATGCACACCTCCTACATTTAATAATATGATTTCTTATTGCACTATAGTGTTACAAATATTGAACTTCACTGGAAGCCTAAATCACATACTCTGTGTGCGTGTGTGCATGTGTCTGCATGTGTGTGTGTGCTCAAGTGGCAATGTGGATAGAAATATTACTTGGGATAGAGATGATGTTCAAATATCAATGATGTGCATTCCTCACTTCCCTTTGAAACAGAAGCTTATGGACCTTGGAAATGCAGAGATGATCAAACAGTAGTTTAATATAATTGTAGTATGCTGAAAAACTTTCCCAATGCTTTGATAAATCCAGGTATGGAAGAATTGATACGTTTATGTGTATGTCTACCTACCTGTATCTCTGTAACTATACAGAGAGTTAGACAAGGGTAGACAGCAATACATACATATACTTACATATATAGAAAGAGAGAGGGTGTGGGTGCGCATGTGCGTATGTGTGCATGTGTGTGTGTGTGTTAGCAGCATCTTTATACTTTGCGCCTCCCTGTTGATTCCAAAAGAAACCAAAAAGCCCCATTCTGATTTAACTGATTACAATGAATATTTTCTTAAAGAAAAATAAACCAAACAAAACTGTAAAAGTAATATCTAACAAGACTGTGGTACTGTAGATAAATATAGGACTGCACAAAAATGTGCAAATTTTCAAATTATTTAACATTTCTACAGCACAATATTACAGATAACCATTCTACAGTTTAAAAAAAATCTACAGTTTTTAAACAAAAAGATTAACAGTTATGTAACCTTTTCTTTAATTCACTTCATTGAATGATAAACTCTTGTTAAAAAAAGGAAAAAGTTTACACAGTTAAAAATGAAGCACAGGTCAGCAGTGTCTTTACAATACTAAAAAACTAAATCAAGGACTTTCTTTTTAAACATTCCCACATTTTCCCTAAAGTGTTATGATGAGCAGTATGATGGGAAAGGGTGATGTTGAAGTAAAGAGTCTGCTTTGTTTGAGAAGCCAGGACCCAACCTTTTAACAAACATCTTGCACTGACTGCAGTTCTCTCAAAATTCCTCTTTGCAAAAGCATGCAATCCTGAACAAGATGATAATTTCCTCTTCCCTTTAACTTCAACCAATGTCGAACCCTTGAGGTATCTGTAAATGAGATCCTTCAGACGCCTCAGTGGTCAGGATTCTTTTATTATGGTTAGGTTATTAAACTGTGAATTCTTGGTCCACATGGAATAGGGTTTTTTTTTTGTTGTTTTTGTTTTATATATCCCCATTATTTTTGTTTGTTTTTTATTTTATATATCCCCAATAATTGCTCCTTAGCTAAGAGTTAAGAAGTACTTCTAAAGCACATTGTATGGCTCAGAAGCGGCTCTCTGGATCTTAAAGGGCCTGCAATAAAAATCCACGACTGGTTTTTATGTTGCATAGTGATCAAAGCTGCCCAGATATTCCAGTGCGGCTCGATAGCAGAACTGGTATTGATCCTGGAGAAAGAAAGATAGAAAACAAAAGCATCAAAAAGCCAGCTTGTTGGTTGGTTTCTATTTTCTTTCAACTAAGAGTGAATAATTTGTGGCTACAGACAAATATACCACAGAGGCATCTGCAGTTCAGCAATATTCTCTTGCTGACATCAACAGAAAACCAGTCTGAGTTACAATAGATGAAGATACACACTCATTTAATGCAGTAACATTTTCCACAGAATGCAGCTTCTTTTTCTGCAGAGACTATATACCCACCTACAGACCATTTGTTATTCTGGGTTAATATAACATCAGCATAAAGCTTTCTTCTTCTGGGAGCATGCTAAGACACTGTTCCCCCATGTATTTGAAAATAAGTAGCAAAATATCCAATTAACTCTGTAGCAAATACAACACTCTAAGTGACAAAATCCGTCACAGCATTAATATGGAATGCTGTAGGAGAACCACCAGGTTAAAAATCACGTTAAGGAAGCAAAGGGAATCCCAACCTTTCAGTAATATAGGGTTTGATGAGGATGTGAAGGTATCTTAGCCTGTGGCAAGAAAAGGGCCTAAGAGAGAACTATGTTGCTAAAGCACCTTATTAACATGAAACAGATTGCATTTCAACTTACACCTGGAAGCAAAGTTCAGTGTGGTGAGAGATTTGCTTATACCTCTGGTCAATCCAACATTTGGCATTCATGTTATTCTCATCCCCTCTCAGCAGTCCTTTTGCTCATTTATGTGATAATGCACACTTACACTAAAATGGCACGTCTGTGTACTCATTTGCAACTGCCACTCAGGGTTTAAATGTTAAAAAAAAAAAGAAAAAAAAGAAAAGAAATTGCTTCTGAAAGCCATCCAAAATATCAAGAAGGTCTGCTTATTTATCTGATAGTGCTATGTGGTAACCCCAGATGGGTTATACTTGTTAAGATCACAGTTAAAATTCTTTTGGAGACCAGAAAACTCATCAGATATTTGCTTCAATGTAGTGGTATGATCATTAATAGTTCTTTTCTGCTTCCTGTTGGAACAGTGGGAGAATGCATTAGACATGCGTAAATTTTAAGTGTATGTGTGGTCCACAGGGAGTTCAAGTGCTTTGTTGAATAAGGATTAGATTTCCTGGCAGTTTATACTACTGAATGAGAGATTTGTTTTCCACAGAATCCTGAAAGAAATGAGTACACAACATTTCTACTTTCAGCAGCGGGGATGAAGGGTAGCATACAGAAATAAGTCAAAGTAGGAGGAGGGAGAATATATTGCATAGCTGAACTCTATTTCTCAGGTAGGCTCCAAGAAGCATAGTTTTTCTGTATACTGTACTTATTTTGTGGAACGAAAATGACAGAAAGCAGTCATTTTTCATTTTGCATATCCAGAAGAATGATGGTAATGGAAAAGAAATGGAATTAACTCTTCAGTTTGGTCACAGTGATTTACTTGGCTAACTGACAAGATTAAAAATAAATATCTTTATTTTTCATATAAGTTTTTATGAAGTTGTCTTCTTAAAAATAAGACTACCCAGCTTTTATTGAACAAGTTTAATTTTCTTGTGGAAAATGGCAAACTCTGGGGAACCATTTTAAATTTCACAGACTGTAATTTAAAGACCAGTGTCAGTCAAATTTTACTAAATAAATGTATGACCTAAAATGTTGCCCTTCTCTTGCCCTTTTGCTTGGTTCTCCTAACCTATTGGCTCTGGCTTAGTTCCAGTCTCCTGTTTAGAAGTTTAAGTAGAAATTAAGCACAACTGAAAATGTTTAAGTATTCTTTATGACATGACACAGTTCCAAGCATCCAGGCCCAGGAAATTAGCTGATCCCTTTCCTTATTTCTCTATGGCACTCTTGCTAACACAGAAATTTACCATTATGATTTTCAGGCTAAACAGCCACTTGCTTGGTGACACAAAATCAAGAAAACCATGAAAATAATACAGTGTCAGTCTGAAGCCATGAACAACATTTTGCTCCCAGAACAAAAAAATCAGTGGATCCAGCTGCAGAAACAATTTGTCTCCTTCTTTAATACCATACATTTCTGCCAGGAAACAAAGGTTCAAATAAAAATGGGTAATGCTTCTTGGAAAATGGTTTTCCTCAACTACCATAATTTAGGATCCACTACTGAAATGATTTTTTTTCTCCCAGCCTGCAGTATCTACTGCTATAACAGGAAATAGTCCTTGCAGTATCTTTATGGCAGATTTTACACTGTAGTCATATAGTCACTATATGACTTAAGATATAAATGTAAGCACATTTTACACAGTCTCTATCTGTGCATTTTTTGGCTGTGGAAATACCCCTTCTTTTCCATCACCATTGTATATGGATACTGTTTTGCTCACCTCTGTCTGTACCATGGCTGGCCGCTGCGTCCTTAACATTTTGACAGTCTGGAAGATATCTACAACACCTTCATATCTCATTCTTTCTAACACAATGCTCAGGGTTATGAATACTCCAGTCCTTCCAACACCCGCACTGTTGCAATAAAAGAAAAAAAAGGGAAAAAGGAATGTTAATTGACAGTTAATGCTGAAAGAATTGGCTGACAAATTATCTGTGGTTACAACACACCATATGTGTACAGATTTCTATATGGGGAAAGGCTCACTAAGCAAAATTCCACAGCAAACTACCACATTGCATTTGGAAGAATAATTGCGCTCAAGCAAACTTCACATGCTACTAAGTACTTCCTGACTCTCCAGTCTTCATTGCAAAGTGACTTGATTTGTTCATCCAGATATACAGTAATCAGTGCATGGTGAAGGAAAATGAGAACGTTTGTTGCCGATGACCTATGCTGGAATTGACAAGAGAAAAAGAGGCCAAAATGTTTTTTACTGCTTGCTTTACTTTAGCTCGTTCACGTATATGCCCTGTTTTGCGCATCTTCAGTGTGTTAGTTTACCTTCTACTTTGAGTTAGAGACAGTCTGTGAATTTTCAATTAATATTGAAATTGTTCATACACACTACAATTTTAATAACGGATACACAGAAACCTTCAGACACAGCTTTTATTCAAGTCTGGCAGTCTGGATCTTTAGTTTTCCAATACTGATATACGTACACCATGTCTGTCTACATTAGTCTGAAATGTCTTCCTTGATATATGGCTTGTTTGCTCTCTGTTCTGTCTTGGGTGTCTGTTATTAGCTAAAACCCCCAAGAAGTGGTAGAAATTCCTGTAATCAATAGAGCCAATAGTTGTCAGTTATTAAAATTAAACAATCACTTATTCATGAGGATGAGTCTTGGACAAAGAGACAGGTAACTACACAGAAAAAAAGATATTCCAAGTCTGAACTTGTATGGGTGGAAATTAAGCACTCCATCATCTCACTGTTGATGCTAATAATTTCACAAGGTTTTCTGCAGTCAGACAGGCTTGGAAAGCTGGAGATTTATGACACCTATTCACCAGACAGGAGAGTGGAAGAACATGAACAGCAGGGAAAGACTGAAGAACTCTGAATGTTGGTATGGACTATGACAGAGATCCAGTGAATTCATGAGACTAGTGCGAAAATCGAATGTCCAAATTGTATGATGGTATTTTAGTGTTTGGTCTAGATCAGTGCACCTCTAGGGTTATTTAATATATGTGATTGGATTTAGCAATTTTGCATAACCTGTGCGCCTTTGGAGAGCTGAAGGAAAAGGACAATTGAGACACAACTTGACAAAATATCATGCTCTCAGTGCTGGTTTACCTATATGTGACGACAATGGTCCTGGACATCTAGAGCAACTGGAGTGTAAGGTCTCCTTTCCCTGATGAGGTAAATTAGAAAGCTAATGTTTAAGAAACATGCTGAAAAAATCCTGGAAAAATAGCATTGGAACCTGCTTGGACTTTATAGAGATGACAACAGTGTGATCTAAACCAAGTAGCCCAGAAAGTGACCAGCAGAGTGAAGGCAGATAACCATTTTCCATTCTCCTTGCTGCTGCTCAACCATTTAAAGATATCCAACAAAAAAAATATGATTTGCTAAATATGTGTGAGGACTTCTAGCCTCACATATTAGTCAAATTTTTATTACTTTAAAAAACCTACCCAGAAGTCTTTAATTCAGCAAAAAGAGGGAATTAATTTGTTGTCTTATGTTCTTAAGGAATGAAAAAGTATCTGGAGAAGCTACTTAATGAAGAAGACAGACTAATATGAAAAGATCTCAATACTTGCAAATCCTAACTAGCCATCAAGTGTAGTATTTTGGTAAAACCTGTAGGAAACTGACCCTGTTCCCCTAAAGGGGCAAGCATATTTTAACATTGTATCAATTCCTATTAGAAGATGCTTAGGATTTCTAAAGAGTGATGGAAGTCCTCATAAGTACTAGTAGCATTTTAATGATCAGCTGATTTCTTTCAGCACAAGCTGAAGAGCAAACTAAGTTCTACCATGACATATAACGAAGCAATATGACATAGGTTTTAAAGAATCCTGAATTTAGTAAATGCTGACAGCACTACTTCATGATGTAGTATGATTCACCAAAGTTTAAACAATTAGAAACCAAAGTTAGGATGCTTTAATGAGCCATGAGGAAGTATTGATGTTTTTATAAGAGGGAAGAGTTTGTTGTTAAAAATACATCTTGAATGCATGCTGGGAAGAAGTGGTCTTCCTTACTCTCCAGCTAAAAGCTGGAATAACAAAGTATAAACATTTAAAATTGGTTGAAGTGAAAATTTTGCTTCAAGATGAACAGTCCTTTGCTCTTTTAACTATTTTTTAATTAACTGCCTGATGAGGTTAGAAATTTTTAAATTGTAACACACTGATCTATTTGTAAAAATGCCAGAGAAGGAGAACATTTTAAAATTGTGGGTGGCAGGGGTTTCCTATGTAACAGAGAAAGCAAACTTGTGAAAAATGTGTAGAGTGGGAAGGAAACCACTGGAAAGTGGCACTAGGGGAGTCTGTCATTTGAAGAATTTCTCTGTAGAAGAGAAATCCTTAAAAACTCATCATGGTACAAAATGGAGGCATTATTACAGTAATTCCACAAAGACTAGGAAAGTGCAGGTACCCAGGATCTTGTGCTTCCTGGAAGAAACAAATAAACTTACTAATTTGCTAGGGACATTTCCTATTCATGTAAGTTGACTAACATTGATAATGATGATTAGCATTACCAATCTCTAATTTGTTGTCACAATGATGGTAAGACATTTAAAGACCAAACCATGATGAATTATACCGGATTTGACTTTGTTTCTACCAAAGTCAATGGCAGAAATCTCCATAATTTCAGCATGAAAGATCACACCCATTTGGAAGGGATGCATAACCTACTGCAAGCAGTATTTCATTCTAGTCACAAGTAGACAAGTTTGCATGGTACAAAGAACTTAGAAGACTACCATCACTTTGCTTTCTTATGTATGTCTGCATAAAGGCATAAATATTGCTTATTACTCCTCTGCTCTCAAAACTCATTAATGTCAGGAAGAATAAGGCTTGTTCTTATCATGGTTGTCCTTCATTTTCCCCTGCCAAATGAATCCCAAACATTGCTCTGCAATGCTGTTCTCCTTAGCAGGCCATAAAAATTTTTAGGCACACAAACCCAGTAGGATTCAAGTAGTCCAATACATTTATTTTGTCAGTCTTTCAGATTAGGGGAGCATAAGGAACTCTGTTAAAACACACTGGTGTTTTAACAACTTCAGGTTGCTCCTGACTTTGGAAGGACAAGAATCCCTCTCCCTTTGTACATTCATATGCTCTAGTAAACTTGTTCATTTTATCTTCATGATAGTATTGGGGCATTACTTGGCTTGCAGGAAGAACTTGGAACCTGTATCAGTATTTTGCATCTCTGCTATATAAATAATATTTAATCTACCAAAAATAATTTAATGTTACAAAAATGAGTATCTAAAATCCTAATGGAATTTACAGAAAACAATTTATTAAATAAGAGATAAAATATAAAGATATTGGTTTTGGCCATCTGCTATAGACTCTAGAATACTGTAGAGAAAAAAAATAAAAAATACAGGAATATTAAAAAAGTCCACCCTGGATTATTCCTACACACCCTGCAAGCGGTTTTCACCGCATATCAGTTGTAAAGGAATTGAGGGAAGTCATCACATCAAAAAATGGGCATTACATTCTGAATTTAGAACTCACCAATCCAAACCTCAATGATTTTTTGACAGGCAAAGTTTCTAAACACCACTTTTCTATTCCATTCCCTTTCTTGAGATAGCTACCATTTTTATTTGTCTCATCTTGATTGCTACTAATGTGCTACTGAGGTATAACTTGCTTGTTTACAGCTAATAATTCCCACCAATGTGACAGCCTCAATTTTATTACCAGTGGAAAAGAAGTATCAGATATAGCAGCCTGTGATAAGGCTCCTCCTACTGCTTTCTGTGTGTAGCACTGACCAGATTGTTTCTACCCCACCTTAGAGACATTTTTAAGTGAAGAAAAAATCATGTGCGTCCACATATTTCAGAACCTTTTCTGTGTAAATGGGATATCGCAGAACAGTTCCTGTTTCGTAAAGCAGTCCTATGTGTTCCTTTTTAGATCTTCTATTTGATTACATTTTCTGACAGTTCACCTATGAAATTCCATTTACATATACACCTTGACTGCAATCAGCAATCAACTTTAGAAGAAAACAAATCTGCATATGAGTTGTTTTGAGGCTTTTTTAACTTACCTGCAATGAACAGAAATTGGTCCATCCTGACCAAACTGCTCTTTTGTTTTATGCACTTGGCCTATGAAGTCAATAAATCCTTCTCCAGACTTTGGCACTCCTTGTTCTGGCCAGTCAGTGAACTGGAATTGCCTCACTGTTCGGGACTGGCCATCCTTTAACAAAAGACACAGATAATGTATTCCAAAAGCATGTTCCAGCGGCTGGAAGTCAGTCAGCCAACAACCAGAAAGACAATCACAAAACAGGGACACTGAGAGGAGGTGGGGAACAGCTAAGATCATGTTTATGAAGACTCTTTCAATTGCAGTACTGGCTGGTGCTTTTGGACACGTTGGCCCAGAAGTGCAGTTTCATTAACAACATTACATAGATTCCCTTCTGCACTGGACAGGAGAGTTGTATGACATTCTGCCTGTGTAAAAAGTCTGTCTGAGGCTAAAGACATAACAATCTCACCAGGTTATATGATTTTTTTTGGTAAGTTATGTTTTGCATCCTGTGGACTGCAAATTCCTTTAAATACAGAACAGGTAGAATAAGGCCATCCAATCTGACTCTCCATTTCCTAGATATACCTATCTACTGCATGGCAGGAATATCTTCACTGATAAGACTTATTTAGTCATTGTCCTCTTTGCAGATGATATCTTTAATAGTATGGTGCTTTCTATGAGGTGGACATTTGCCTGGAAAAAGATGGGTCAAGACAAGCCAGTTGTTTAACAAACCATAAACTTCTCTTCAATCATTGTAATTTCATTCACTAACAGCTTGGACTTAGTCAAAAATCGAGAAGAAGGGCTTCCTCTCTAAAACAAGTTGGCTGAAGCTGTTCATTCCCTTTGGTTAAGAATACTAACAGGATTGTTTAAAACTGCAGAATACTGCAGCATGGTTATTTTTATAATGAAGCCACTGGAAGTATTAAACGCCAACTTCTGCTGTATGCCTATTTAATGTGTAAACGGTCAGGACACATAAATAGAAAAAATCCAATACAAATGGATGAAGTAAATTTGTTCTGAATTTTCAAACATTGTTCTTGACGATTTTGACACTGCCAATCTGCACAGCTGAAATGTTTAAAAGCATGGGCATAAAAGCATGGGCACATGAGATACTGATGTGAGCTAGTGCCTATGTACATGTTGTTTCCTAAGCACCCACCCTGCCCTGTCTTCAAAATGGTCTTCTACAAAGTGAAACTCATGAAAAATTGAAATGATTATAGGAGATCCCCTCAAAAAGCAACAAGTTATGCTGGAGGCAAGACCAATCTTTTTTTTTTCCCCTCTATGACAAGCATTCAGCTATTACAGATCTTTGAAATGAAATAAAAGTGATTTTAAAAATAACCAAAGGAAAAACCAATACTTTACTTTTATGTTTCCTCTGGTGCTGTGGGTTTTTGCCCCCCATGTCTCAGATGAGTAAGGAAAACAGAAAATGGGGGTGTGTGCCAGCCACTGCTCCACGAGAGGACACACATACGCTTCTGCGACTTACTATCTCTTATATTCCCACTAGACCACTGTGACAATTTAGTAGTCCATTTCTGTGGAACATTTTTGCCCACTTAAAAAAAAAAAATCTGTTTGAAAACATTTACCTGATTTTATTTCTTGTGGGCATCAACACAAAGAACTAAATATTTCCTACCAAAATGGCACTTTGCTAATGCAGACTTCTCTCGTAATGGTCTCTGTGATCCCATTTGCCCCCAAGAAGACATAATGAAATTGCGTCCTTCAGATAGCCTTAGGCACATGACATTAATCAAGAAGACAAAACAATAGGTTGATTCCCTCCAAAATAACCTCCTATTCTTCTAAAGTAAAGAAAGAAAACCTTAAGTCTGACTCACTTGCAACATGTTGGTTAAGGAGATGAAAGCTCTTCAGCAATTTCTGTCCCTGATAGGAATTATGCTAGAATAACAGTAACTTTTTAGAGGTAGAAAAGATAAGAAGGATGCTGCTTTACTTAAGTCTAGACTGTCATTGGAAAGACCACAAATTTCTATGTGCAAAACAGATTTGATGGTATTTATTTATTTTTCAAGTGTATCTAAATCAATTGCATTGGCATATTTCATGATCGTAATAACTCAATAATCCAGCGCAAGTCTGTAAAAACTGATCTGATTTAGTTTTAATGGCAATAACTTCTGTTATTTAATGCTAAGTAATGAGCACAGAAGTAAAGTTACGTTAGTCTGATGTTAGACTAGCATTGAAGTATATTGGGAACTGATCTGCAATTTCTTACACAGTTCCCTCTGCTACTGACATTATAAACAGTGCTGCTTTCTTTTAATGAGACGCTTGCCAATAGCAGTCCAAATACAAATGCCAAATTTTATTAAAATCTTTACTTTCAAACATTGTAACAGTTTGCACAGCTAGTTATCAAAATACAAACTTTCAGATCCCTACATGGAGCAGAGGGCTTTTAATGTATCATCCTATTGATTGGCTGACTGTTTGGATTTCTTCTTGCTCCTTGCAGGGGATATTCAATTGCCTTTTGATGAGGCTGTAGAATTTATAATACTCTCTTACAGCCATCACTAATAGTTTAGCCTTAAATGAGACTGACCCAACATATTGACCTCTGGAGTTTACAGAGAAAGTGAGTATAAAGCAGGCAGAAGCAGTAGATTGAAACAGTTACAGAGGTCAATTTCACCTTACAACAATTCACAGCTCAGTTTCAGAAATAACAGGGAGTTTCACACCAGACACTTGCTGCTGACATCTACAAAGGCAGTGTGCTTCTTTTCGTGCCCCTGGGGAATACTTGGCTGGCTCGGCTCTGCCAGAACAGGGATGGTATTCTAACGTTACAGATGGGTTTGGAAATAAGAGGGAGAGAGGCTGGTCACAACCGCTGAAGCATTTACGCTTTCTTGAATACAACAATTTAGTTAGATGGTCTCAATTACTGGCTGTGACAGCCATAAAAGCCTAACTACAGGAAAACTATAATGTACATTTTGGTAAGTAGTCTCCACCGCTTCCAGTAAATTTGGAAGGACCTATAGTTTCCCAGCACATCTAGAAAATTTAAGATGGCCCTGTGAGCTTGCTGGTGTGTTGTTTAACAAAATTTGGACCATCAAGGTAAAGAGATTTTTAAAATTTGAGAAGCAATGACATGTGATGGTAAAATGTCACAAGACAGCCAAGGTGCACATATGCTTGGCACTTTTTAAAAGAGGTGTATTAATATCAGGTCCAATAAAACTATTTCTGGCAAATTAAGTTATTCAACCCTTTCAGACTTTTTACTGGTTTGCTAGCTATAAGTAAACAGACTTCCATAAATATCCTAGTTCATGATAAACTCTTGAAAGAACTTTTTGGAAATATATACTGTTTGCAGACACTTCACTTCAACTACATCTGTGGCTTTTTGTTATCATTGTTATTTTGTGATCTGAGCTTGGTGAACTATGTCACATAAGACCTCTTCCAGCTTGAGATGTAACAGATTTTTAATAGATGATCTATGAAAACTATGAGCACAGTTGTAGTGAAGTTGGCTTTGACTGCCTATGCTTACAAGTGTGGTTAAAGACTGATGTTAGGAGCCTGTTCTTCTCCACTTTTGTTAAGCACAAATAGGTTACAGAAGCTATGAGTTGTGATCACTACTAGTTTTCAAATAGAATGAAAATCAGATCCAGTGTGTCTACAGTTTCTTTTAAAAAACACACACCTAAGTCTCATTTGCCAAATTAAAATGTTCATATGCTGACTTGGTTAGTGACAATACTGTCTAGCTAATTGTCAGTAGTACCTAATTTTACTTGAGGCTAACATTAAAAGCAGCAGTCTAGCTAACTATGTATGAGAAAGTCTAATATTTTGGATGCTGACTGGCAACTCTGAGTAATCACTTGTGTTATTCCTGGACAGTACATCCTGCTATTTCGCTTGAACAAATAGTATTCTACAGCGCTTACAGAAATGGAGGCTGTCGGTAATCTTTCCTGCCATGCAGACTAAAGTGCTAGAAATCAAAAGTCTGAGAAATGCCAAATATATATTTACAGTTTATGTACATTTAATCTTATATCAGTGGTCAGTTTTGGACTCAGGAATTCAGATAAGAAATGCAGTATGAAAATGAGGATGCTAGGGTCACAGCTGCATGTACCTACTCCGCAGATATACAAGAGTGCTGAAAATATGCTATGCCAAAAATCAAATCATAATGTGCAAAGCTTGTCAAGCTTTTCTTATGAATGCTATTTGCTCTGCAGTTTTTAAATCTCAATGTATTAACCTTCATACTCACTCAGCCTAGAGGGTGGTGCAAAACAACATATTTACAGCTGTAAGTGACAAAAATTGCCCCCAAAAATGATCAAGGGGGAAATGAGGAAAAAAGGGAGAATGATCCTCAAATCATCTAATGTATTTTGGCACAAATAATTATTCAGAACTTTACAAAGTTGTGCTGCCCAGATGTTAGATCTGAATGAAGTCAATTGTTCTTACACAAAGACCCCATTCATTTAATAATAACAACTTTATCTGCTTTTTGTTTATTGCTTGTAGAAAGTACACCCCTAGGGTTTTTCTAATAATAATAATAAAAATTAAAAAAAAGAGAGAAAAAGAAAGAAATCGACATTTTCTTTTAAACTTATGTGAACTAGTGTAATGCCACGTTAACTTACCCTTGCATCTGTAACCTTGAATTCCCTCAGAATATACTGTGGCATGTTGTACTCTGCCATTGGATCTACTACAAAATACTGGTATCTGGCTGAGCGCTCTGCAGGCCAGTACTGGTGGCATTTTTCCTGCAAAATAACAACACAAAATACAGTTCCTGTTACTCGAGATCACTACCATAAACTGGTATAAAATCTTTTTCACTCAAACAAGTGTAATACTCATGGAAAGTGCCATTAGTGACAGGAACATGAACTGTTTGTCTTGCTGTGAACATGAAGTTCCATACCTAGAATAAAAAAATGATCTTCACTATTGCATTGCAGAGGGATTGTCTCTGGTCGCTGCACATCTGAACTCGTTTATACTTCTGCTCAGTTCTATTATTTATCAGTGACAAGAGCTATCCCTAGCCTAATTTTCAATACAGAATGGAATTTAAATCTTGAGGCCACCTTCAGTTTTCTTTCCTCTTCCCTGTTGAAGCAAGTCCCCCTGGCCTCAGGCGAGACTCTATCTTTGCATCCACTAGCCATGTCCTGAATCATCTCTATTCCCCAGACACATGGCCTGACTCAGGTTTCACTTATCACATAGGGGCTTTATCTTGATGTAATCCTGTCCAGATAGTAAACTGCTTTGTTCTTTCCATTACACAAAGCAGCACTTGGATGAGTTTAGGACTGTAAACTGGCTGATGAAACTTTAAAGTTCAGCGCTATGAACTCACAGAAGACATTCAGATCTCAAAAATACCACACTTTCTTTTAACATTGTTAAAAACAGATGCTGCGAAAGCGAAGTTTCCAAATAAGAAATCTTCATTTTTCAATAGACAGCAATGTTCTCTCTGCAAACTTCAGAATATCAATATGCAAACTCAGTTGCTGAATCTCAGTGTGCCCCAGAGCAAAATGCCATGTCTAGCTTGTCTATTGCAACACATCTACAGATTGGAAAACCTTACACCTGGTCATCAGCAATGCTACCGATATTTCAAAACAAGAAGGAACCTAAATCCTCACTTTTATCTTTAGACATTCCCGTAACAACAAAATATTTTATTAAAAAATCATTATAACAAAAATTTTAGTAAAGGAATATTACAGCAGTACTTACTCTGCCCATTTCTCGTAGCTTAGTGAGCATGACCACAATTGTAGAATTATGCTCCCAGAGCATTCTCCAGAAGTCTTCAGTTGTTTCTGCTAAAGGACCCTGTGTAGCTATGTAAGCTTTTTGTTGTCTATGTTGAAAAAAAGTAAATTAATAAAAATATTTTAATCAAAAAAGTCAAGGAATATTACAGCAGTACTTACTCTGCCCATTTCTCGTAGCTTAGTGAGCATGACCACAATTGTAGAATTATGCTCCCAGAGCATTCTCCAGAAGTCTTCAGTTGTTTCTGCTAAAGGACCCTGTGTAGCTATGTAAGCTTTTTGTTGTCTATGTTGAAAAAAAGTAAATTAATAAAAATATTTTAATCAAAAAAGTCAATTGATACACATGTTCTCTGTTTATATGTAAACATTATCTAGAGGAAAAATTTATATACTATTAACAATAAGCACATAAAAACCTTATTATGACTGCTTAATCAAACTATGGCTTTTTATTTTTAGAACTTTGAAAGGGAAATTACTCTGTTAATGTTATGATGTATGTCTTTATCATTATTATTTAAATTTTAATGCAACTCTAATAGCTCAATTTTGTGTGCTGTAAAAAGCACTTAAGAAACACTTAGTTGTGCTGGTTCATTTTGTAGAAATAACTGTCTAACAATCTATTAAGTTTAGGAATTATAGCATCAAGCAGTTTCTTTATTAACTCCCTTTCAACAGTGTGATGCCTCCAGCAAAAGTAAGGCAGGAAGAAAATTCAGGAATGGAGTGCACTGCATTTCCAGGCCTTAATATCATACTAGTGGAAGCTACCAACAGGCTGTTAAGAGCTTCTGGATCAGCAGCTTTATAAGATGATGACCAGTTCATGTTGTTCTTGCTTCTTTCAATCAACAGAAACACCTTTGTGGGTGACAGTGGAGATGAAGGTTGTTTCCAATTATGAGCAGAGGCTCAGAAAATTATGTCTGTGGATACAGATACTCAGGTACACCTAAACCGCCTTAGGGAAACTATACTGCTTCTCCTTCATGCCTTTTTCTACCAGCTGCTTACGTCATCTAAGAGCATATTGCTCCATGTTGTCATGAAGATGCTGGTGGGCTACACAACTGTTTATGTATAAAATGCTTTTGGCAGCTATGTCTAGTCTTAATCAGTGTTCCAAGATCATAGGTTACCACCTTGACACAGAGAGTGTATCTCCTGTATGTTATTTCTATGTATCTTTTTAAGCAGAATAGTTGTGAAGAAATAGAGGTTCCAAATCATGAATGTGCTTAAAATCTCATGTAAAAATCAGCATGTAAAACATATGGGGAATTCTCAGTGGTTTAAAGGTAGGTAAAAATACAACGTTTAAGACTCTCTGTCATTTACAGAATTTTCCTGTATTGCATGGGTGAAAATCTAAACCTTTTATTTATATTTTAAAAAAACACCCAATCAAACATGGTATGCACAGATAATACTAAATTTCAGCACTAAATTTTCTTATTTTCAATATAATTAAAAAAATAATTTTGTAAACTTTTAAAACAGTCCACATGAGAACACATCAACAGTAGTACCTGTATCCATCAATGAAACTGGCATTAATATAATCAGAGCCTTCTACTCCTCGGATTGGCTGCAAGCATACCCTTGTAGACTCATATGGCATAATATTGACAAGGCGATTTTTGAATTTATTACATGGAAGATTGGCACTGATGAATCTTGAAGTGTGAGCCTTAGAGCTAGCAAGACGCTGTTGAAAATAAATTAAAAGAATTAAGGCCAGGTATAACAAAAACAAATGACACTATCAGATTTGATGATCTCTGCTTATTATCCATTAATGAATAATTTCAATTTCAGATGCTTACTTTTCCATATTCTATTGCATTACCTAAATATTTGTAAAGCTTCTTTTAACACCTTATAAAAGTTTAATGTCTGCTCCATTAATGCATATGGACAAAATTGAGTATTAAACTGTTACACAGACACACATTTCAAGCTATTGAAACAATAGGAACAGCAGGGTTAAACCACCCTCACTAAACAGTTTTTGTCTGGACACAACTGAGAATAGAATTGTACATTTTACAAAGGATCGTCTTCCTAATTTAAAATTTTAGCCTGCCGATGTCTTATCTTTTGATTACTGGAAACAACTGGTGGAGGACAGATCAGCATTAAGTGTTACACCATTTGTTTTTGGTTCCCCGCAACATAAAATCCCAGTACCTTAAATTCCAGTTCCATTCCTGTGACATTCTCGCCTGTTTCTATCTGTGTCAGCTTCTGGATATATGCATACAGGTTTCTGGCTGGCACTTCGGTATTTCCACATGTCACTGCTTCCAGCAGTGCATCGTGGATAAAGATGTATTGGTCCTCAGTTTGAACCATGTAATTCCTCTGCGCTCTCATTAGAGTTACGTGGCCATAAATATCTACAGTCTTTTCATGCTTTATTCTCTCTAACATGGCATCTATCACAATGAAACAGCCAGTCCTGCCGACTCCAGCACTAAAAGAAATAAACACAGGAGGGAAAATATGAAGGACTATTTCATGCATTGCGCTAGCTTTTAAGGCATTCAAGTTTTAAAGTTTCATAACACTGATTTGAACAGAACATTTTTCTGAATATGAAGATCAGCTTTTATGAAAGAGGTTGGTGCCCTGAAATAAGTAAACTCCTTTAACACCCATTACAAGCAATTGAGAACATGGAATGCTTTTATATGAGATCTTTGCATCTTGTAGTTTTAGGCTTGACTATAATAGAAATAAAACATATTGAAACATGTTCTAAAAGTATATGTTCTTAAAAATGGAAATTACTGGAGATGATGAATCCTCTAAGAATTCAAGCTTTATTTGTAGCATGAATTCTAACTCATTAAACATGCTGTTGTTGCTATTCTGTTTACAGAGGTGAATTTATTGGCAAACAATAATGTTACAGAAAATGAGTCTTACATATTTCTGTTGTGCTTTGGAGGTAAACTTTCTATCCCTCTCCCAACTCTGTCAGTGGGGCTTCTATTAACACAGATTGTTCTGTCCTCTGCTCTTTCACTTAGCCAGGCCATGCTGTTACTCTTTGCAATGAAGAGCCATGCCTAGTTAGCTGTGCTAGCTGTAGGCTGGGGAAATCCCCAGGTGGCCGCTTCAACGTCTGTCTTGCATCTCTAGGAAAATGTAAGAAAGATCTGGAATGGCCAGAACCTGGACCAGGATGCTTAGTCGTCACATTATTTCAAAGGACAGATTATAAAAGGACTAAAATATGCTCAAAGACAAAGCTTGAAATCACAGCATTGAATTAATGTTCAGCCTGGGTGAATAACATTTTTCAGGTAGAAGCAAAGTTAGTGCTTCCTCACAGGTTCTGAGTTAAGTCAGTTGTTGGTTTTAGGCAGGAGCTGAAGTGAAGTCACATCAATCCTGTTGAGGACAAAAACCCTACTACTTCTTAGCTCTCTGCACAGTAAGGGATTCCTCAGGAACAACTCTGAGCTAGAAAGTTGCTTTCCCCTCTTTGGTGGGACTTGAGGGTAGAAGATGACATGGGTCAGCTACTGTGAGCTTGGCACAGGAATAAAACTTGACCATTAAATATTCAGTTGGATCTAAGAGAATTAAACCTGTCTCAGTAATAGACCTACTTAACAGCAGTTTATTTTTATGATACGTGCTGTCAAAATGTGCCAGACTTTCAAGGATTTTCAGTCATTCCCTCCCTGTCTTAAAGGTATTGTCTGTTACATGCATGGGCTACCTTTAATAACTCCTGAAGACAATGTTATGCAATCAGGAGACAAAAAAGAGACTTACAGTTCTCACCTTGATGTGATTATTATTAGTCATGCATGATCCTTTATTACACATTTGGCATAACTGAACAGGAATGACGTAGAAGGAATATGAAAAAGACTATAGAATACACAAGACCAGAAAATATACTGAAGGTCTGAATACGCAACTTGTGTGCTAAATGGAGCCATGTTTCCTAAAATCTCTACAGAAATTCTTTTATGGAGATGTTTGGACATCAACTGTACTGAATCAATTTTCTTTCAACTATTTGCGTACATGTAGCTATATACAGCACAAGTTTAAAATATAATGGATTTTGTATATCATTTTTATATCTGGGATCACATCATGTCTGTGACAATGAATGATAGTTTCTGGCCTTCTAAATGCTTAACTGTTTTCAGTTAATGACATGAAATGCAGTACGTAGTATAGTAAGCAACAGTTTATAAACCCTCAAGATATTGACATTATCTAAATCAAGGATATTTAAGAACACCACAAATTGCCATTTTTTGAAAAGAGACAGAAAGAAATAAAAATAATTACAACCCAGATTCTAGAGGACAATCATATAAAAACCAAGATCTTCTCACAGTTCCTATATTTTCATAAGATACTAAATATCTTAAGTTCATCCTGAAATTGATAATTAACGGTAAACCTTTATTTCTTGCATGACACTTCAAGAATCTTTGCCAGTTACCAGCAAACAGCATTTACTTACAACCAAATCAGAAGGAAGTACAGAGCAGAAAGATGTTTTAGTCTCACATGAGCTAAGTTTTGTTTCTAAGATTCCATATTTACATACTGTTAATCATGTATTCTTGCCACCAGTTACTCTTCCCAGAAGCAGATCCCCTTCAAACAGCTGAGGACTTCTGCTAACAGACCAAATGCATCAATCTCAACTTTCTTAGATGCCACTCTGACAAGAATAAATCGATATTCTGAGCTTAAGAAAACTTACCAATCAATGATATTGATCAATAAGAGTTGTAGAGAAAGAAAACATACAGACAAATTGTATGATGGATATCCTAGCTAAATGGGAGTTCATTTACATTGTATAATAAAAGCTCTGCATTCCAGGAAACCTTAGTGACCTTAATGTTGGTAATAACCATGGAGAAAAACTCAAAAAATTGTCTCACTATTGCTTTTTTTTTGATTGCAAAGAAATCACCACAAGTAGCACACATTTTTGTATGTCAGATTGGTTTGTATAAAGTTTTAAACCATTCCTTAAATGATGCCTCTTTGCATTCATTTTTTATCAGCCTAACAAGTGCTGGCTAAGTGAGAAATAAGAAGGTTTGACAGTGCAGATGTTCTCAGTAGTTTAGAATATGGTTCTCTTTCCTATCATCTATTAATGAATTAATGTTCCAGCACCGTGTTTATAATTTGATATGCCATTTTTCAGATCAAACATTAAAAGGTTCACTGGTACCTACAGACCACAACTGCAAAATTTGAACCCAGTTAAAAGCTTGCACTTTCATCTGGAAAGGGCAGTTTTCATTTCTTCTCTTCACGTCTTGTACTATCATTTATATATTTATTCTTCGCATAAGCAAACTCAAAGAGGAATAGTTATCAGCATACTGTAGAACAGAAGATATTGACCAAAACACATTACTGTCCACCGATGTTTTCATGATGAAGATGGAGGGGCTGCCACAGTACATTTATTGAGGCATTTGGCTCCACTGGGCTCCTGACACACTCCTCTCCGGATCACTTTATCCAGCAAGATATTTTACTACCTTAAGGTGTTCAGGACATTCCAAGTCTGCCAATTATAAAAGAGCTGTGTGTCTACCAGACTACCCTTTTCGGTTTCCAGGTAAAAATGGAACCAATGTTATGAATATTTTAACTTCCTTCCTCTTTGCCCCTACATACCTTCTAACTCCAAACTCCAATAGTTTCCCATACAAGAGCAAGAATCTATCTTATCTTTACCCCCTGTTTCTCCATCTCTTCTGCTATCATACAGACTTCTTAATATGGTACCAATACACTGCTGGAAGCCACACAGTTTGAATCCTCATTAATATGCCACTGGAACATCAAAAAAAAATTCCTACCTACTTTCTGCTAATGATGATAATTCAGCTAATGAGAATAATTTCACAATTAATTCTACACTTGTTATTGACTTTCTTGCCCTTTTGGTTTGCATCTTCTGGTGTTACTGTCAAACTTAGAATTTAAAAAAAAAATTCTATCATTTCAGCTAGTGAAAGATACTGTTACCTTTACAACCTGAAAACCTAAGCAATCTGTTAAATGGGCGTGCCTACTAGGAAACTGTTATTGCTTCAAATATTATCATTTATCTCATTGTAACATTTGTTTTCAATTTCTAAAAACATGACTGACTCAGTCCCATGAGCTGAAACATGTTTAATGTCCTGTGATGCAATACAGCTGCAGTTCACAAAAGAAAAATTAAGAGGCATAAGGGGACCATTCCACATTAAAATCACTGTATGGATGTGTTAAAGGTTGGCTTTTGTGATTAGTTTGTAGCTGTTTAAATGATGACCCTTTACTGATACTTCAGCGATTTGGCAAAGGAAGGAAGTGTAATTGCCAGTATTCACAGACCATTTAATTGGAAGCAAAGACAGTAAAATATGGACCAAAAATCATTTAGGACATTTTTGACTCATATCAGGGGAATATTTTATTGAATAGTTCAGTTTCAGATTGAATGAAGCTTGCATTTATGAACTGAAAGTACACAAAATTGCTTGTGATATGGGAAATATATAAAAATGCCTGGATTTTATTGAGGAACTTCTTATGATTAATTAGATTCCAATCCCACAGAAATTCTGTAGTAGTTCTGACAAGGGCAATATTTAGATTATTTTCTCCTTTTCCTGTTAGGAAATTAGAACACAGTTGAAAATCACCCCTCTGTCCAGGAAGCAGCAAAAATGCCCCTTATGAAACCATTGAACATCCTTTTGAAGGGATACATCTGACTGAAATAGCATGAATACCTTGTGAAAAAAGGTAAATTTAAATTTAATTTTAGAAGAGATACTGGACTGCTTCAAGAATTCTGGTACCGGCTTATAAGAGACCTTTGAGAATTGATCTACAAGTGGACAATGACTTTATTTTCTTCTCACTGTGGTTATGGTCAGATACCAGCAATAAAGTATGGTATACGACACATTTTTAGGTGTAATGCTTCACCAAACAAGACTTTAGCCATTGTGTTTTCTTCTTCTCTATGCTATGCATGGCGACAACCATATTTGTCATTGAAGTAATATAAAGCTTCTTAAAATGAACAAGGGAAGAAAAAAATCAGAAAACAGGAGAAGATTTCACTACAAGTAGATAAAGCTCATTCTAGAGCTCCCCAGAGTTTTCATAGATAGCTGGCAAAAGTATAGGAGGCTCACAAAACAAAAGTCAGCCTTAGATCTTTCTTCCTTTACTGAGCTTTATGAAGATTTCCTTTCACTCTCTATGTTCTCAGAATTCTACCATTACCATAAGTTCTTCAAATATAACTGCCCCAGATTTAAGCCCAATTTTTTGTAATATGCAACTGCAGAAGTGTAATAATGTTCAGGAAGTAAATCTGTTCTTCATCTAATCCTGAGTTCAGCTCTGGAGAGATCAAGCACAAGAAGCTGTCTTACCAGATTACAAACAAACTCTCAAATATTAAAA